TTTAAAGGTACCCCGTCTATGAGGTATCTATGCTGCATGAACAAATCAGAGTGTAATTTTCCAACGAGTTCTAAGGGCCTACTGGGCACACATTTTTGCCGTCGTTTCGCGAATGCGGGGTTGGAATCTTCATTGCCTAGAGAAAAGTTATTAAAACACCCTGCCTTATCTTTACTGAAATTCTGTGCTACCAAATTGTTGTCTATTTGTGATCTATCGCAGCTCAGTAGTGTTTCTATGTACGCTCTGTACGGGTATGTACCCAAACTGTCTGTTAATTCTAGTTGATTAGAGCCCGCTATTACTCTCACCTCCCGAAATAGAGAATGTAGAGTATTTGTCACGAGGGCGCACACGTCTCTACGTCTAGTCACCGTCTCCCCATCAGCGCTCATCACATTGTCAGCGACTGTAGCATGACCATCCGTCATCTTAAATTCGCATACAATTCTCAGGTAACATTCGGCCAAGTCTACGTAGCTGTTTATAGGGTTATTGATATCAAACCTTATGGTGCCGTCCAACTGCCCGAGGCCTGTAACGGGACTATATTTGGTCCAGTGTGAATCCGTCATCGTGGAAACCATACCCGGTAATGAAAATAAATCCAGTTCGCTTTTACCGCATTGCGCGTGTTCCGTGTCCCTCGACATCGTGATGAATGTTATGATATCTCTACTAAAATACCAAACGCCTCTTAGACTTTCTCCTACGCTTCTTTCTGCTCGGGAGGGATCCAACATCCGGAATTCTCTCTTTTAGACGGCGTATTTTTTTACGAGGTGTCTGAGTACCCGTACTAACGAGTCTACGCTTATGGCTCGACGCCCCTGATGGAAACGATCCCAAAACACCTTTCATTGTGCTTTTAAGCGCCCTGCTACTACGTCGTTTTATACTTTCTGACCCTTTTGAACTACCCGTCACCACGTCGCCCACAACACCCGCAGCAGCCTTGGCTCCCTCCTTCAATAGTATTTTACCGGTTGACTTTAGCAGGGGCATCGCTATTCTACCTATAGCGCCTAAAATATTCCCGAGTCCAGCACCACCTTGACCATAATGCCTGCCCACGTACACCGGTATGTGATTCCCGTACATCCCTTACAGACGTCTTACGCGTTTATCCCTCGCTTTTAAAATGGAGTATCACCACCGACCAACCGCTAGCAAATGATACGGGTCGTCCGCGATCATCTCTTATAAGAATAGTCACAGAACGTATCTCGTCAAATTTTAAAGACAGATATTGAATAGGGTTCTTTTCGCTCACGTATACTACATCTTTTAACATTTTCCTTTTGACGGGTATCAATGTCAACAGAGGCGCCATTGTGTGACCAACTATCTGGTCGTCTATAATGTCGGCATAGACGTACATATTGTGGAAAAGTTGTTCTTTGGAGAAATTGGAACACGTATCGGCTACGGGAGTCGTTCTGGGGTCGAGTACGCATACACGGGTGTCGCCCCCCGCCTAGGGCACTACGGTTGTGAAACCCAGCATGGAAGCCAAGTAAGGAGACACGTCGAATCTAGGACCACACTTTCCTAAAACATGTCTCACCTCTTCAGCATCGACCCCCTCGAAATCGCTTTCCACAAAGCCCGAGGCCATGTAGACCGAGTACAAATATTTACTAGTCTCTTTAGGCGTTATCAATTTTTATATCGATTTCCACACCACCCCCTGCATTACTATGTTTATGATATTCTTCACGCCAGGCTTGCAACCGCGCGTTGATGGAGCTATTCATGGTATCTAAGAGTCTCGCGACCATATAATTCCTTTGCGGCAGCATTATCTGCCCCAGAAATTTGGTTTCTAAGCCGAATTTATCCTTTCTCACCACGCCCTTCTTATACACTCTCTCACGGACGGGGACAGTCATATACGTGCTGAAAGCGTTATGAGGAACGGGTAAATTGTGCCATGTCACGGGTATCTGCACAGTACTAACGCCAACCCTCCAATTATCCTTTCTGTTTACCTTCAGGGGGTATGGTAAATCTACGGTGTAAGTGTGCTGTACATTATCCGGTCGAGTTTCGGGACTGGCATCGCTTGGTAGGGTAATGTAAAAATCTGTCGCTTTCGTACCGTTATTCATAATGTGCGGTGCTGTTCTCCCATACGCTGACGTTCGGTGACAGATGAGGGTTGTTGCTGTTACGACTTCTTAAAAGGCCGGGAGGGGTATGAACCGAGCGCCAGAAACAGCGATACTTTCAGTAATTCAAACAACGGTTCTTCAAACTTCTTTATATCCTCGGCTAGATCGGACGATGTGGTACCTTTCAGTGACAGGTAGCATACGATCAGCACGCATAGCAGGATGGTGTGTAGTGGTAGCTTCCTCATGCACGTCAACCCCTTTTTGAGGAAATCCCTACCATGTGACTTTCTGGTAGCCATTGGTCGAATTCTTTGCTCGGGTATCCCTTCCATCGAACTAGTATTTCTCTTTTACCCGTAGTCTTATTGACCCTTCTCTTTAACACTTTTTCTACTTCGTACGCCTCCGGCTCCGACACGACTTGTAACTCATCCCGGTAAAATGTTCCTTTTTATAGCGTTTCTATTGTAGTCGCGTATTTTATAGACAGTCGGTTTCCTATATCTAACTTTGTTGACCACGTAAAATATTTCCCTGGTCCAATTGGCCTCGTAACCTTTAACAAAATTCCCTTTACTCGTCGAAATTCTGACTGGTGTTTGCGGCAATAAGTATTTCTCACGTTTTGGGGAATTTAACGTTTTGCGAGGGGAATCTTTTGACTGCGTTTGCTGCCTGCGCGTGTGGTTCCATACCGCTATCTCGTCGAGAATAGTTATCACGTCGCTAGGCTTACGTCCTATGGAAGTGTGGTATGCGTTATTGTAGGCTTTCAATATTTTAGCCAATACCCCGACATACCAAGGTTGCGACACAGTGTTGAAGTATCTCCATATCCGGGTCTTTAGAGTTCTCTGAAATCTTTCCACGACGGAACATTTCACGTCATCGTTCTGACTAGTATAAAAACATTTCCCCAGAACGTTCCTAATATGATGCTTAAAACAACTGTTGATAAATTCACTACCTTTATCGGTCATTAAGCTATGGAAAATACGAGGCTTAGCACGGTTCAGAATTCTTTTGAAACCGTCGGTCACCGTTTTAGCCTTTTTATCCTTGAGCGGTTCGGCAAACGCGTATCTACTGAACACGTCTATAACGCATAATATAAATTTGTAACCATCGTTGACTTTGCTAATACGCGACACGTCCGACAAATCAGCCTGCCACAACTGGTCCTTTCTACATATGGTAGCGGAATAGGGTGTTCTAGGAAAGCGCTTGGCGGGGCGAGGTCTATGTAGACTGTAAGCGGGCTGTCTCTTTAACCAGACCGTTACCTGAGCAGGGGTAGGTTTGACAGAACCCTTTCGTTCCCTAGCCTCCGATAATTTTCTTAAGAGGCCAACCCGTGAATCAAAACCCCTCGATACATCATAATACGTGCGTTTCAACCATTTCAGCCAGTAAGGCTTAATAGCTTTTCCAGCTATTGTCGATAATTGTCGACCCACGTGTGTCGCCCTTTCTTTTCCCTCCTCCGGCATTGTCCAAGCTCCAGCCTTCCTCATTACTTCGTTTCTTCTTCCTTCGCGACCTCCTAGGAGTGTCGCCCCCCTCGGTGTATAACCTGTTTTTAATAGCGCCAGTGCTCGCGCCAGTGTCTGCCATTCTCGACGACAGGAAAGCAGCTACCTCGTTGTATTTACTACCCCTCTTTTTCGTCAGCTCGTGTAATACGTCGCGCAAGGTCTCGGTCCCAGAGACGAACCTTTATAGCTCAAAGTTCCTTCGTCCGACACCCCCAAGTCTGGATCGTTTTTAATAAAGTCGGTAATATCTTTAGCATCTCGTCTGTACGTTTTAGGTAAATCGGTCAAAACCTTAGAAAGCGTGGCATCTAAACCCGATGTTGTTACTCCCGGCTTAACCACGGGAGCTACAGTCGTTGCTACGCTAGTGTCGTTTAATGGCTTCCGGGGAAAATGTGTATCATCTCGACTCCCGTTTACCCCTTCCACACGCCGGGCTCTCGACTGTAAATCTAAGGCGTCTTCCAATAGGGCGTTATAGCGCAACATTTTCTCGTGTAGTTTAACCGGCACAGATGACGTCCTATTCGCAACATCCCCTACTCGCCGCTCGTCGTCATACACAACATTTCTCATTTCATCTAAATTGTCTCGCCTTTCTTTCGTTAAAAGAGCATTTCCTTGGAGAGGAGAGTATCTTGCCCGAGACCCTGACCATTCGTCGCGAGAGGAATGTACGAGTCGGGAATACGCTGCCTGAGGTAGCACGACCATCTTAGTAAAGGAGGACATCGCATGGTTATTTGGAGCCTGTAATAGACCCTACCACACTCGATACGAGGTTTGTTACGACTGGAGCTAAAAGAGGCAACAACAATGGTAATATACCACCCCTTTGCGCCAATATTTTCCTCTTGCCAGCGTGCGAAACTCTGTGTCTCTGGCATAGGGTATGAAGAGCTCTTTTCTTGCGATTTAACCCGAGTCTCTGATCATCTGTCATAGGTAAATTGCCGGAATACACATTAACGGCTGTCTCGCTAAAAGCGTCTATGACTTCTTTGGGTAAACAATTAACGAGTCGGCGTCTGACAGCGGTTGGGGCCCTACATAGGTAGTGTATAATGTCCGCGTTGGCTTTAACCCTGTTGACCGAATCGCCTTTGGCGACACCTTTTCTCTTACCACATGGTGTTCTCTTCCGCACGCCACAGCGCGAGGTCGAGTGTAATTTACCGTTAGAGCGACGCATATTTTCGGTGAATTTACTCGTGTCAGGGGAAGGGTGTCGCTCTACTCCGAGGGTGTACAATAAAATGACGACTAAAACTCACGATCTTCGTATTTATGGTTATTTATTTCCTTTTCAGAACAATCTTGGGTATTGGTATAGGAGGTATTATCTGACCTCTGCTGTTGTTACGGCGTCGCTCACCACCCTCGTCGCCCGGGGCGAATGTGACACGTTCTCCGCTGTATACGTCGTCCTCGGTATCGTCGCTGCTATCGCTGTCGTCGTTATACAAAGCTACATCGTCCCGACAATGTAGCAACGCGTCGCTGTCCCCAAACGAAGAAGAAGAACTCGTGGTGGTAGACGTCGTCGTATCGTCTATACTAGTACTAGAGTCATCGCTGTAGTCGTCGTATGACGTCGAAGAATAGTCGTCGTCATAGGTGCTGCTGCTACTATTGCTATCCTGGTCTTCGTCCGTCGTGGTCCGAGTCGCAGCTTCCCCCCACGACCGTCGTCTGCTCAGCATTTCATTCCCCGAAACGCAACTCTGAGCGTTATGGCAATCCATTCTATTCACTTTTGCTTAGGTCGGTATACGTCTATTTCTCCGTGTTCTCTGTTAAACTGGTTTCCACGCACTCTAAACTCGTCGGGCGTATTCGGTGTTAAATCTAGCAGTATGTAAGTGTGCGGTTGTGACGTAGCTTGGGCGTAAGCCTCTCTTATAAAGCCCGACTGACCCGGAAATATTTGTCTAGCTAAATGCTCTATCTGGCTTCTATCCCGGGGATTCTTGTACACAACAATGTGCATACAATTTAAACTGATCGTTCTATGGAACGGTGTTCGCGCAAAAATATTCTGTTGTAAGTATAGTATACTGGTCTGTCTGTGATGCGATCTCTTAACGAACCATCTAAGTAACTCTTGCTCGTCCTCCTTTGTCAAATCGCCTGCCGCGTCGTCGACGACTAGCCAGTTATACTTGGAAGCGTCAACGTAGCCTTCTACGTCGTCACTAATCTTTTGCACGAAATGAATGTCGATACCTCCCCTGACGCAGATGGCTTTTATAGCGTCGTATACGGGTTGCGTTTCACTGTAGACCCATACTATAACGTCTGGTAATTTTTGTAGTAAAGGCCACGGACCATCTATATCGTTTTCTAGCATGTGCTTCACGAAAGTGGTTTTACCCGCACCGCTAGGACCTCCTATTAAGAGTCTGAATATCTTGGGAATTGGAAATGAATTCTGTCGACTAGACGTTTCTGCCCGTCAGCGCGATAGTCGTCCATGTTTACTCGGGAGGTGGTGACAACGCTATGGGCTTCTCTCTCTCTCAACACGACAGTATATAAAGGGGGTCTCTCTCTCTCAACACGACAGTATATAAAGGGGGTAAGAGTGTACGAGTAGAGGAGGGAATACGCTTATGCCGTATTTGTATTGCGTGCGCGTGTATGCGTTGAAAATGTCGAATACCCCCGAAGAGGATTGTCTTTATTTGAAAATGGAAACCACGGCAAGAGAGGGAGAAAGAGACTCGTGTGTATCAAAGCATGCGTGTCTGACGGCCCTAGGGCTATTGGTAGCTATCGCGTGCTGCACGCTGACCGTCATAGCTTTGCCACTCCACTCATACGGAACAACACCCCTCAGGCCATTTGTCACGGAACAGGTGTGAATCTAACGGATAACGAGTGTATGCGCAATCAGCTACGCCTTTCGACAACAAAACGTGTTTCCGTTTGTTTGAAAGAAAATTTACCCATTGTAGATATCAGGCTATTTATTGCTGGCAAAGAGACAATTTTAGGTATCTCTATCTCCACGGAGGAATGGCGTAAATTAACCGCTAACATTGCGCGTATAAATAATCTTATCAAAGCATTACCGTGACGTCTTTGTTAAAACACGTATTACTGTCTTGGTTTTCTAGTGTCCGTAGATTTTACTACTGAAAAAATGTAGGGAGAATGTATAACCACACCCGAAGGCATGACACACTGTTCCCAAAAAAATATGACACGCTATTCTAAAAGTGTCACACGTCCTTCCCAATGTACAACTAACTGCTCCAAATGTATGACGCATCGTTTCAAAAGTATGACGCGTTGTTCTAATAATTACACACACGCTGTTCCAAAAGTATGACAGACCCCTTCCAAAATCGTGTCATTAGCCGTGGACCCGTTCCATAGATTTTACTGCTAAAAAGTATGGGTAGAACGTATAATCACGCCAAAAGGTATGACATACCGTTCCAAAAGTATGACACGCTATTCCTAAAAGTATCCATCGTCGCACACAATGTACGACTAACTGATCTAAAAGTATGACGGGGATAGTTCTAAAAAACTGTGACAACCATGCACCCCTTTTCCAATCCAGACCTCGACATACCCTGTTGGGGTGTGAGAATAACGACAGAAATAGCGGAATATACATTTTCAACGGAACACGCGATCCGTTCGTTTATTTTTTTAAAAAATATTATTATCATCATCGTTGTTATAATCGTCATATCGACACGCCGAGAAGGGGGGCGTGCGCTTGTTCAGGCACTAGTATCGGAGCCTGCTGTACTGCCTATCAGCTCGGCCACGAGCTTCTGCAACTCGATGTCTACGTTGGTTTCTCCTTCCCTCGGGTCCTGTTCGCCGTCCTCGGTTTCGCGCATAGGCGACGGTAATGCTGTAGGGTTCTTCTTCTTCTGCCTCTTCTTGTTCTGCGTCGTTGCGTCATCGCTGAGTTTTCTCTTTTGGTGCGTGGTCGGCTTCTTCGGCGGGTGGTTCGTGGTTGTCTGGTCTGTCGTCGCCGCGAGTGTGATTTTTTCGTGGTGGTGGTCGGTGGTGCTGCTGCCGTTGTTGGTCGTGCTCGGGTGGTCTGCGTCGTCGTTGTTGTTGGTGGTGTGGTCTCTTTTGGTCCCCTGAAGTGACAGACTGGAGGATTGTATACTAAGACGCAGAGCCACCATGACGTGTGACAGGGCGTTCGTCAGGGCGTAGCTGATTTGGAACACATCGTCGTTCTTACACATTTGATCGTTTGACTGTAGAGACATGACCGTAGGTAATGGTGAATGGAGCGAGGTGAGGAAAAGACTATTATACAGCTGGAGGCGAACTAGGGAGATGTTTGTGGCTTTTATAGTAGAGAGCGACTGTCTAGCGAGCTATTACCGGTCGGACGCGGATCGACGAATGACGAGGCATTGGTTTCGTAACCGTAAGGCACAGTATAGGTCAACCTAGAAGTTACGGGGTTGCGAATAATGTGACGTTGGTCGTGCTACCGCCGCTGGAGAAAACAAGCTATATGCTATCGTTGTTTGCAATGTACAAAGCATTCTTTTAGGAGAGATGGGTGGTCCTGAAAAGGACCGTTGGGTGGTGTGAGGTGGACTCACAGCTGTAGAGTGCACTGACACTGATGAATTGTCATCCTTCGCCTGATATGACACTTACTACCGTGCGTCAAACGTCTCATGTATGTGTCCTTCAGGATGGTACTACAATATACACACTGAAATGTACCATTATAGTCTATAGTCCCGTTTGCATAGACTGGTAGACACCCCGACATTGACGACACTGCCATGCAGGACACGCTGATGATGATTGGTATGGTGATGGTGGCGATGGTGCTGATGCTTCCACCGACATCAGCTCTAAATCCCAATTCTCTTCCGCGTTGGCAGCAGTGACTCCACTCTTGCCCCCTTCTGATGCCATTGAGAATAATTCTGCCTCCCAGTCTTCCATCCTATCAGTTGTAACACAGCCCCTGTCCCCTCCCCGTCATATAGCAGGGCTCAGCCATTCAAAGGACACAACGTCATCACCTCGTGATCGAGCATGGCGTTGTTGAAGTATGACGAGAGTTAATACAATTCACCAACGTGTCCTTGTTTGTGACGTCATAAAAGGGAGAGAGGTCCTCTCAGAGGAGTCATGGCCGTTGCGAGGTCATGAATTGCATACCGATGTTACAGCTGTCTCTCACACCTCTAGATTGTGTGTTTCAATACGTACTTTCTTAATCAGTAGCATTCAATCCTTATCTAATTTAAACACATTTCGAAACGTTCGACATTCATGTTGTACGTTTTCTGCAGATGTATCTACAGTAAAGGACGGGAGAAAGTATAACTCCTACCAAAGGTATGACACAGTGTCCCAAACGTGGAACAATTCGTTCCAGAAGTATGACAAATCCTCCCAAAAGTGTAACTTAGCCTCGTACAATTCTCACAGATTTTACTACTAAAATGACGGGAGAATGTATAACCGCGCCCAAACTATGACACACTGTTCCAAAAGTATGACACACCCTTATAAAAATACGATAAGCTGTTTTCAAAGTATGACACTCTGTTCCAAAAGTATGACACACCCTTATAAAAATATTATAAGCTGTTTTCAAAGTATGACCAACCGTATCAGAAGTAGGGTAGACCATTCCAAAAGTATCACCGACCCTTATAAAAATACGATACAGTGTTTTCAAACTATGACACACTACACCTAAGCCGTGTTTACCTGCCTTTCTTAGCGTGTCTGATTGCTAGACATGAGGTCAAGATGTTCCACTCCCGATGGTTACACAGCAGTAAAAAGTGGTTTATTAAAGTGTCGCATGTTGTGGTTGACACTAGTCGGCTATAGAGAGTTGGACAGTATATAATACAATGTGATCATTTTAGCAGTACTGCTATACACTAATGCAGATGACGGGCAGTTTACCTCTCCATCTAAAATACTGTACGGGGCGAGATTTGCAATGGTTTGGCAATACTGCCCCTTTTCTTAAAACCGTCTGTGGTGGCATTGCTTTACGACCGCAGTTGAAAGGATTATCGCGTCAACGCACACCATGGAAGACATCGACAGAGAGAAATAGTGTATAAGATAGTAGATGTAATTTTCGCGACTTCATGTGAGTTTATTGGGGAAAACTGGTGAGACGACGGCGACGACACGCACGACTGTGTATTAGAGACGATTAGGGCAATTAACCCTGTTGACGATGTACGTAGAGGCTATTTTCGAGACGGTAGGTAAGTCTATGTGAAGGGAAAAATGTGTAGAGACGACGGGGTGGACACTCACGACTGTGCATAATAGGGGACGATTAGAGCAGTTAGGCCGATTAACGATGTACGTAAGGGGTTATTTTCGAAGGAAAGTGTGTAGAGACGACGGGGGTGGACACTAGCGGTCATGTATAATAGGGGACGATTAGAGCAGCTAGGCCAATTAACGATGTACGAAGGGGTTATTTTCGAAGGAGAGGGTGTAGAGACGAAGGGGTGGACACTAGCGGTCATGTATAATAGGGGACGATTGGAGCAGTTAGGCCGATTAACGATGTACGTAGGGGTTATTTTCGAAGGCTTCGGCACACGCGGTGGTCGAAACGATTGCGTAATAAGGGGTGGTTAGACCCATCAGCAGGAATATACGATAAACCGAGGACATATGGTGCGTAAGATAATAGAGGCGATTTTCGTCTTCCTGCTGCGCGTGTCGGACGTGTATGGTCATGTCTACAACGCGGACACGC